CTCATTAAAGCACCAAAATAACAGTTAGACTGCACAATTTATAATAATCAGTAGAAACAGCTCTTGTGGTGAAGCTTTAGCAAGCACATACTCAGTCATTACACAGTGGATGTGTCAGTTAACTTGGCAGACGTCTGAAATAAAGTTAATTAATGGATCTCCCTTTCATCTGCAGGGTCGGAGGAGAATGGCATTAGAACAACTGGTAAGCTGGTCTCAGCCCTGAAACTCTCAGGGCTCATGTCTGTCACTGAGGTGAGAGTCCACCTTGCTAATGATTGACTGTCTATGTGCCAGATGAGACATGCAGACTAACATCCTGTTAAATCCACAGGTGAAGAGTGAAGCCCTGAGCCCGGAAGCTATTTCAGCTCTTAGCCAGCTGAGTGGTTTCCAAGGCAACTCCCTGTCCAGGGTGCGCATGTCCGCTTCGAAACCCAACTTTGAGGTTGGGTCCTCTTCTCAACTGAAACTGTCATTTGCAAAGAAAACCCCCCAGACAGGTGCGTCTTAATCTGGATTAAGCATAGGCTTGAACTAAACTGCACTTTGAACATTAAAAATCCCATCTAGTCCAGGTTTAGCCTTAATCTGTGTGTGGGAATTTGGCCCATAGTGGAATAATTTGACATTTTGTAAACCTAGCTGTTATATTTGCCTTAACACTGGTTAGTGGATCTACATGACGGACTCAATACCAGCCACATCCTGTGCTTTGGCTCTTCTCTGAGACCTGTATTCACGTGTTATGTGATGTCTTAGAGATGACGCCATACACTTGACACCACACTGTGGAAATAACAACCATAAACACGGGTTAGAATTACCGAAAACACCCAGGTTCACTGACAAATTTCCAGATCAGTGGAACAAAACATCACAAAACAAAAACCCAGAAACATCCAGTTAATCCACACCATATCTACAGCTAATAGTTATAATTTGTCATCTCAATTTCATCACTATTCTTTCACAGAAAAGCCAGCCCTTGATCCAAGTGCTGCTAAGCTGTGGACTCTTTCAGCTAATGACATGAACGATGATGATATTGTAAGTATACAGCAAAAAAAGTACAGAAAATAAAACACACATGAGGATACATAACAAGAAATGAGTTGCCTTTCAATCATTGGTGTAGCTTTAAACTGTGTGAAATCAGTTTTTCATGGAAAACTGAATTATTCTTGAAGAAAAACAAGTCTAGTATCATAATGAACTCTAGGGAACACACCATTTGGGAAGTCCCACCCAAATTTAAAAAGAAAACAATACAAGATGACTCATCAGGACATATTGTTTTCTTCTGCTCCTTTTGGGTTCATGTTTCGTGCTCATTATGCAGGCTTCAGTTACACATACTGTGGCATATAGTCAGAAAAATTCAACCACGTCTCCATGTTTTTTCTGTTTTTGTCTGCCCTTTGTTGTTTGAAAAAATTATGTTAATTGGACAGAAATGCTCCAAAATTGCTTTGAATAAAATCTCTTTACATTAACTTGCATTCAAAGTTTTTGCTTTCTCCTGTTAAGTTGCCATTTTGTAGATTTAGGAGTTTTTTCTTTGGACAGTGGCGATTTGGTAGCATGCTCCGTGAAACTTTGTGAAATTAATGCAGTGCTTCTTTGACACTGATTCTATTTTATTGTTGCCCTGAACTCCACATGACATTTGTGTGAGTTTATGCATCAGAAACAGACATAATCATTTGTATATGGCCATTTTCCAACCTCTCTTTATCTCTTAGAACAAAACAGGCTGTTTCTGTGCCTTTAAGACTGATATGTAAATGACCTCCGCTCTGATTGGCTACTCTATAATGTGCCTTATTCTAATGGCAGGCCGAGCTGAGACCCTTCTTATAGCGTCAACATGAATGGGTGGAGTCAACCCTCTGTAGGCTGAACAGATGTAGATGTCTTGGTTTTTGTGACATTCGAAAGAGGCTCTGCAGCTTAGTTTCCATATGTAGACTGTATGGGCTGGGAAGTGAATGGTACATTTAGAAACGTCCATCCATCCATCATCTAAACCGCTTATCCTTCTGGGTCGCGGTGGGGTGCTGGAGCTTATCCCAGCTGTCATTGGGCGGAAGGCAGGATACACCCTGGACAGGTCACCAGTCCATCGCAGGGCAGACAGACATACACATTCACACACACCTAGGGGCAATTCAGCACATCCAATCAGCCTGACTGCATGTTTTTGGACTGTGGGAGGAACCCGGAGTACCCGGAGGAAACCCACGCAGACACGGGGAGAACAGGCAAACTCCACACAGAAACAACACTGGTCATCCGGCCGGGAATCGAACCCAGGCCCTTCTTGCTGTGAGGCGACAGCGCTGCCCACTGCGCCTTTTAATTCTAGGATCATTTTCTTTAAACAGCTTCTCAACATTTTTTGAAGTAAAACATTTTGTGCTCATTTTTCCTTTGAGGGAACACCACCTTTCAGCCATGACTCACCCATGACTGGCAGCTTATTGCTAGGTTGTAATCTTGTGTTTGTAATATTTAGTTTAGTAACTAAACTGCTTGCTGAGATTTTGACACTTCAGAATTGTATGTTCTTATTCAAATCTACCCCATTCGGATATGCGTACATGTAATTTCATAACGATGTGTCCGTGTCTCTTTGTAGGACATGTTGGATTCAGATGAACTGCTGGATGCTGAGACCTGAAGAAGCCTGACCCAGCTTCACTTAGAGCATCCTCTTGTGGAGAATCAGGAACCAAGAAAAAGAAAGCATGCAAAAACTGGTGAGAAAGCATGATGAACTCCCAGGAAAGTTCACAGAAATATCTCTCAATTCAGCTCTACTGTGGTGTCTACTGGGTGAAAAGGCTGCTTGATACGGAATAAGCTTTGAGATTACCACAGCGCTCAGTTAATTCACATGACTAAATACACCAAATATGAATTATAAATGTGTCATCTTCCCTGTAATACTGTAATGACTGATTACATGTTGTTGTCCTCTGTCGGTGAAGCACTTGTGGCCTTGCGGAGGAGCTCGAGCAGGAGGGCAAAGCAGCGCAGAAAGTCAGCCAGCCTAAATCAGCCTGTGGAAGCGTGAGTGGTTTTCTTCTCAGCTCTTAACGCTTTCATACAGTTTAACTGGCTGTGACTGAAACCACAGTCATTTAATAATTGTGATGTAATCTCATACAATGGTTTTATGTAAGACCAGAGATGGATTCATGGTTTTATGAATTCGGTACTTAGTGCTATGTTCTATTATTTGCTGCTAATGTTACATTTTCACCATAAGAGTCACTCACCAGCTCCGGCCAGTAGAGATAGCAACACTTAGAACAATCTCAATGCTTCAGTCGATTCTGTTTCCTTCTTCTTTTTATTGACTCACTGTGTAACTTTAGTTTTCCATGATTTAGTAGTATTAGTGTGGTGACACTGGCCAAATATATTGCCTAAGCTCCCTTCAAAAAGCCGGTTAGGACATAACCAAACACGTCAGTCATTGGTTATGATTTCAGTTCTACACAGCTGTAACATTTTTTACATTTATTTCAGATTCTTTGATTGTACTTCATTACTCACACGTTTCTGTGTCTTTATATACACTCACCAAGCACTTAATTAGGAACACCTAAAGATGTTTCTGCCCTCACTGTCCATTTTATCAGCTCCACTTACCATATATGAAAACTTTGTAGTTCTCCGATTACAGACTGTAGTCCATCTGTTTCTCTGCATACTTTGTTAGCCCCCTTTTACCCTGTTCTTCATTGGTCAGGACCCCCACAGGACCCTTACAGAGCAGGTACTATTTGGGTGGTGGATCCTTCTCAGCACTGCAGTAACTCTGACGTGGTGGTGGTGTGTTGTGCTGGTGCGAGTGGATCAGACACAGCAGTGCTGCTGGAGTTTTTAAACACCACTCACTGTCCACTCTATTAGACAGTCCTACCTTGTTGGTCCACCTTGTAGATGTAAAGTCAGAGACGATAGCTCGTCTGCTGCTGCACAGTTTGTGTCGGTCATCCTCTAGTCCAGGGGTGTCAAACTCAACCACTAAAAGGGCCATATTAAAAAATCTCAACAGATCTGTGGGCCAGCTGTGTTTTTATTTCAGGCACTGAATACTTGACCTATTCAAAAATAATTTGAAATAAAAACAAGTTGTTTTATATAGAATAATAGACTTTATATAACACAATAGGCTACATTACTACAGATCATTGTTACCCCCCCTTTAAATGTCCCCAATGTATGGTAGGTTTTTAAACTGTCTTGTTTGCTTGGGCTCGACACCTGGCATCTTTTCTTGTTATGGTGCTGTCCCATAGACGCACACTATGTTGCGGTGCATGCTGGGGATTGTAGTGCAGCTTTTGGTGAATTAGGCTAACATTAATAGAAAATGAAAATAATTTTGTGTGCCACGGGCCTGACTAGGCTCGCTGGCCTTGCGTTTGACACATGGGCTCTAGTCCTTCATCAGTGGTCACAAGACGCTGCCCACAGGACGCTGTTGGCTGGATATTTTTGGTTGGTGGACTATTCTCAGTCCAGCAGTGACACTGAGATGTTTTAAAAACTCCAGCAGCACTGCTGTGTCTGATCCACTCACACCAGCACAACACAGGGGTCCTGACCACTGAAGAACAGGGTAACGAAGTATGCAGAGAAACAGATGGACTACAGTCTGTAATTGTAGAACTACAAAGTGCCTAATGGTGAGTGTATATTTGCCATCATGACAAAGTGCTTAAAATGGTAACTTTACAGGAGAAGGGAAAACACTTCTTAACTTTGAATGGAGATTAATGGAACCCTTTTTTGGAGCATTTCTGCTGCCCCAGTCATCATAAGTTTAACACAGTGTAAAGGACAGCTGGCGTTTTCAAATCTTAAAAAAACTAAAAATGGAGATACAAGGTTTTGTTCAGACAACGACAACAGACGGATAGACACAGACAGACAGACAGAAATTGTATAAATAATGTCTTTTTGTTTAATGTCTTTGTAACTTCACACATGATTTGAAATCTCCAGCTGTCTTTTCAAGACAAATGGACAAACAAATGTTTCAAAATTACTTGGACAAAAAAACCTCATTACATTAACTTAAGAATGTTTTTCCTTCTCTTTGTTCTAAGCCTAACATTTTGAGATACAAGGTTTTGTTCAGACATACGTACATTATTATTATTATTATTATTATTATTATTATTATGGCTGGTCAGTGCTGGCAAAGGACACCTGAGTCCCTTTATCCGACTTCCCATCTATCATACTGAATTCATTACACTATTTTTGTCTGTTTTTTTTTCTGCAGTGTTATCTGGGAGATGCCTTCCGGTGTGCCAGCTGTCCGTATCTAGGCATGCCTGCTTTCAAACCTGGAGAAAAGGTTGTTTTGGCAAACACACAGGTTGCTGATACATAAGACACTCTTCAGTCTCTCCACTGTTACCCATTCCATTCGTACCGATCATAGGCTTCGTTCCTGGATTCCTTCACATCAAAACTGAACAGGGACAAAGCTGGAAGAACCACCATCATTTCTCTCATGCGCTGAGTGAACTCCACTGAACAATGCAATAGTCAGATGTACAAATTCAAACAGCATATTTACAAGTGCATATATACTGATTGCCTTCTTAATAACGACTTAGTTTCATTAATGACAACAAATTAACCTTTAACTTTGGGTTTGTATTTTTCTTTGTAAACGTTCTCCACCACCACCTGAATTTTCTTGTTCTCTATGTAGTATAAAGTTATTCTAAGCAAAATAAAAAGGATATTATTCACACAGGTGTGCAGTATTTCAGGTTTGCCACAAATTCAAACACATTATGATCTTTTCTAAATATTCCAAAACATTTAATTGATCTCATAGGTTTCAATACAAAGCCTACGAAGTCCAAACACATTCATCAAACTATTCACACGAAAGCTTAAAAAACGTTTCACTAGTATTGATCTCAGTAATATAGAAGCACGAACAAGAGTTAACAGTAAAACCAGTGAACTGCTATACTGAAAGGTCTTTGTTTTCCACAGCAGCAGGTGTGTTTCTTTGGATCGAAATATTTTCTGACCAGTACATTTCAGCCATCACTGTTGGTCAAGGTTGAGTGACTGAAAAGTCCATCTTAACATCACCAATGCTGGTGTCGAAGGTTAAATTGTATGAAACAGCTGTGCGTCCATCTCCTGAACTTTCCCAGGGAGTCTGTAAGAAATAAACTCCCTGCTTTCGGTGTGGACTCCACACGCACTCCCCCTGTCGAGAGAGGAGAACAGGTTGGAATTGGAAATTTAACATGACAGTATCAAAATATATGTATCATGATGTTTCATAGCTCTGAGGTTCATCATTTCTGTTATGAAGTATGCAGTTGGTCAGTTTTAAGTATTGATTATATCACAATGTGCTCAGGAAAGGTCAGTGTGATGTAGTGGGTTGCACGGTGAAGTCCAATTACCACAATAATCAGTACTCAGTATTCTTTTTCATTATTTATTATACTTTAACTCACCTGAAGATTTTCACGTTATTCCATATTCCCTTTCTTTAATTCCTTTTCCTTTTTTTCCTCTTTCTTTTATTCTTTATTGCTTATTATTTCAATTCTGCTGAAAATTTGCTAAGAAATATTTTATTATAATATTTTTGGCCTTGCAATCACTGTTTTTACTTTAGGGAATACAAATGTATTTTATCATAACTATACTGTCACACAGACACTGTCAGAAAAAAGGACACTGTACAGGTATATGTTTAGTCCCCAAGGTACAAACAATGTAACGGTACACAAAGGAGCAAAACTGTCCTTAAGGTCCAATTGTGTGCCGTAAATGAGTTCAAGGGACACAATATTCACCTTCCCAGGCTAAGAAGTCATATTTGTACCTTTTCATAACTGCTTTTAAATAGAAAAGTCAAACAAAGTCTGGAGTCCAGACAGGGTGTATGAAGTGCAACTTAATTATAATTCCAGCAGAATATGGTGCAGTTATGTTCTCTAACTAAAGATACTGAAAATGTTCAGAGTAGCACCCCTTCATCAACACAGGTTTTCTGATGTGTGGGTCTAACTAGTTCTATAACTGCGGGAATGGAGGGGTCTTAACTCCCAACACTGAATCCAGTTTCCAGTCCTGGATTTTGTCACCACTGGTAGGCATGACAACAAGTGACCAATCAGCAACAGGAACAGTTCCGTTAACTACCAGTGGTAACAAAATCCAGGACTGGAACCTGGATTCAGGGCCCAGTACTGGAGGATCTCTGACGGAGGATGTGATGTAATAAGTACCTCCTCATTGACAGGTTTGGTCAGGCCCATGCTGATGGATATGTCATTGGTCAGGTTGTACTCCATCCACAAAGCAAACCCATGACAGCGCCCTCTCCTGGAAAGACAGCACATTACATCATCACTACAAACTCTCAGATGCTTCTCTGGTCCTGAGCTCATTTTAGATGGATAGAAGTGAAGTGGAAAAGTGTCCTGTGGTCCACCAAACCAAAATTTAAAATTCTTTTTGGAAATCATGGACGCCGCATCCTCCTGGCTAAAGACCACCCGGCTTGTTATTAGCACACAGTTCAAAAGCCAGCATCTGTGACTGTATGGGGTGCATTAGTGCACATGGCATGGGTGACTTGCACATTTGTGAAGCCACCATTAATGCAGATTTGTATATATACACAGGTTTTGGCAACATATGCTGCCATCCAGACAACGTCTTTTTCAGGTAAGCCCTTGATTATTTCAGCAAGACAATGTAAAACCACATTCTGCACATATTACAACAGCTTGACTCTGAAATAAAAGAGTCCAGGTGCTAAACTGGCCTGCCTGCAGTCCAGATCTGTCACTCATTGAAAACACTGAGCAGCTAAAATCCTCTATCAAGTAAGAACGGGAAAACATTTCACTTTCAGAATTACAGCAATTGGTCTCCTCAGTTCCCAAACGCTTACAGAGTGTTAAAAGAAGAGGTGATAGTACAGTGGTAAACATGCCCCCTTCCCAATTGTTTCGGAATGTGTTGCTGGCATCAGATTCAAATGGCATACGTTTTTCAAAAAACAATAAAATTACTCAGTTTGAACATTTGATATGTTGTCCTTGGACTATTTTGAATTAAATGTAGAGTTTACATGAAATGCATATCATTGCATTCTATTTTTATGTACATTTTACACAGCGTCCTAATTATTTTGAAACATATTTGCTATATATATCTATGTTATATATCCGGGTTAGAAAGTTTTTAAGCTCTGTAATTGAAAGCCTGATGAAAGCTTCTCACCCAATAAGAGGTAAAGTTCCCTGACTGTTCATTGGCTGCTCAGGAACACACTGTTGGAAGTCAAAGGTCATAACTGGGTGTGGTTTGGTCAGGGCACGACACGGATACTCCCACAGATGATGTGGCTCTGCCTCGCGAGACTCCCGGAAATCCAGAGATTGCTGAAGAAAAAAAACTTGTATCCATTAATGATCACGGCTCAGCAAGAACATTTGAATAAGACCAATATGCTGAAAATTACAATGGTCATTAAAATAGTCAGTATTTTATGCCATGCATGTTCCTGTTACTCAACAGCATCTCAGTTTAGGTTTCTGTGGTCTAAACAGGGCTATATGTGTTCTACAGCCTCAGAATACTACACTTGAGCTGAGCTCACGCATACCTGCACCATCTCATCCATGGGGCTGACATCAAAGCCTTCACAGGTCCCACAGGGGGCTCGGATTCTCCATAAATCCTGCAAGGAGGAAAGTCATGAAGCACATAGTTAAAGGCTTATTTCAGTTAAAAATGCACCAATATAGGAATTGTGGGTCAATGCTGATATGCAATATTTTCATGCACATATCTGTTCATGTACAGAAGACAATACTTCCATATCTACTTGAAATGCTTTACAGAGAAGTCCAACATTTATTTCTATAGGGTTATAAATAATTACATTTTAGTGCAGTAACCCATGTTCATCTAAACACTTCTTTTCTACTGTAGTACAATAAATACATCAGATTTGGGTTTGAAATATGAGTCCAATCTAAACAATCTGTCCAATGCTGATCAGTTTTTAAAGCAATTATCAGCAGATAGCAGATAAGTTGTCCAAATAGCACCGTTTATAAGGCCTTTTTTTAAACTATCACTTGAAGTGAAGGTAGAATCCAGAGCAGGCGTTGTACCTGGAACTCCACGCCGAGGAGGTAGAGTGTGGCGGAGGAGGGCAGGATGGTGGCACCAGGCCGGAGGAGACGAGCCAGCGCTGTGCGGCAGTACCAGAAAAACAGAGAGTGCCATGGCAACAGACTGGTGCTGAAATACGGCTCACCCATTAGAACAGATATCTGTAGGCGTTGTGAAAAAGAGCAAAACGCATGGGTCTTCAACATCACACTACTCGTCTGTGCTTTATTTAGGATCGCATGTTTGCAGTGCCTTACAACTTCTCCCAGTGAAGTGCATGTATGTGTGGTAGAGCAACTGAAGCTGCACTTTGTACACTCCCATTATGCTTCAGAAACACAGGCATACACACTAATTTGAAGAGCCTCAGTAAAATTGCATGTTTTACTGATTTTCAAAGTGAAAATAAGTGCACAAACGTAATTACGGCATTTTTAGTGCACAAATTGTACTTATTTGCTGAACTTAACATAAAGGAATGTGCCATAACTTTTGCACATGCAACATTTTGTGTTTGATTTTTTTTCTTACATGTTAAATTCAGCAAACAAACAGTGATTGCGCATTAATATGTGTAGAGGTGTGTTCTCTTTAGAGAACACTTACTTTCCACTTGTGATTTGACCAGGGTCACCCAGACCTTTGCATATGATTGTAGGTATTTTAATACCACATGCTTTGGTAAATCCAAGCTTTCTGCAAGTGTGTGTACATGCTTCTGCAGAGAATGATGAGAACAATAGCATATATATATATGAGGCTGAAGTCGCTTCTCATTCGCCAGTTTCTCGTTCTAATTTTCCTGTTCCACCTCTAATTTTCCTGTTCCGCCTTAGGCGTCGAATGTAACTGCTGCACCATTTAAGGTGGAACGGGAAAATACGAAAGAGAAGCGAGTTCATTTTCGCAACTTTTTAGAGAAAGACAGTCTCTCAGCAGATTTAATCTGCTTATAAATGCGAATAAGTCCTCCAAATGTTCGTCTTAATCTCTGTTTCTTCGTTCGCTACTGGCGAGGCCGGACCTCGGGGCTATGTGACCTGCTGTCTGCTGTCTGTTCTCAGTCGTTAAGAACCAGGGCTTTCACGCTATGCTGCACACTTTGGAGCCGAGATTCAGCGTCCAGTCTCGAAAACACCCCCCCACTCTCTACAACGAGACCAAAAGGGTGGCTGTAACGTACTGCGTGGACACCCATTGACACTGGATCTTATTTCACATACACACACATCCTACCTCTTTCTACCTCTTATACTGTAGTCTTAACATTACTTTAAATAAAAAATTGACTATCTTGTTTAATCAAATAAACTTATATATTATAAATAAATAAATAAATTATACATAAATAAATAATTATATATTAAAATTATATAATTATAATGTGAGAAACTGACACTTGAAATTCACCAAATCAACAAAGTTTGGGGGTTCTGGTACAGCTTTGAGATTTAGTGAGGACATCCTAATCTGTCCAATGAATTAACACTGTACAATGCTGTTACATCAATGTAATACACCATATATATGAAACTATAAGAATTATATATACATATATGTGTGTGTGTGTGTGTGTGTGTGTGTG